GTAGGGGGGTAGGTAGGGGTTACATCCGCAGAGAAGAAGGAGGGGTGAGGGGATAGGGGGTTCCTGGGTGGGTGGGGGATGGGGAAAAAAAGGAGTCCATTAGGACAAACAATTCAATTGCCATTTAAGCGGTATTTCAGAAAAGATTAAACCAGGCTTATACAATTTGATCTCTGTTCTTTACTTCATGCATGTGAAGCACATCAGTCATAATAGAGTCCTCAAAATGTTAGTTTTCCTCAAAAACAGAAGAAGAGAAGAAAACTTCACCAACCCTGGAATTATTTTATTTATGGTTTGTTCCCAGCTACGAGAGGGTACCCCAGAATAGACATTAAGCTCTTCTACCAATTGAAAATAAATCTCACTGGAACCCATTTTAAACTTTTCCTATTTAGATCTTGAGTCTTAGGTAAGATAACGCACTTACTGACTCCACCACCATACTCTTTCTCATGTTTAAACTCCTGGTTGTTCAGTGACTCTGGAATGCTGTCTTTAGTCTCTGCTTTCTTCCTCATCTTGGAGTGAAACTTACCTCCAAACCATTTCCATGGAAAACTATTACCTTATTAATTCCAACTCCAACTGAGATGGTTTCTTTCCTCAGCGTTGCCTAACTAGTTTCGGTAATATTTAACTGCATAAAGTCAATATGCGGACGCTCATGGGATTGTGGGAGGTTGGAATAAACCTTAGGGTTCTTCAGTCATTGTTAAAATTATGTTTGGGATAGACAAAGTCCTTCTGTGTCAACTTCAGAGACATGCGCCAATGACAGAGCAATGCCTCAAACGGAAAAAAAAAAAAATGACTAACAGAGAGGGAAAAACCTCAACTTTGTACTCCAGAAGGCTTCTCTACTTTCCGTATTATTTGCGAAAGTTAGTTCAAGCAATCCTCAGTGTGAGTACAATATTTAAACTCCCACCAAGAAAGACCAGCAAATGTGAGGTATATCCAGGGGAAAAATGCAGAAACTTAGGATAAGACTGAGAGAGAGCATGAGGTCAATGGGTTCGGAACTTCTCTCTGCTATTGTTAAGGTGGGTTGACTCTTCTAGCAAGAGAAAGCCATTGGAAGTCAGAGGGATATAGGAGAAGCTTCTAAGAAAAGTGGTATCCATGTGAGGAAGTCCCCATGTGATAGGAAGCAAGACAGACAAATACAAAGAATCAGAGCTAGAGAAGATGTAGGTTTGGGGCATTTCTAGATGCCACCAGAGAAGACTTCCTAGAGGTAGAAGAGGAGATAATAGCTCAGAGTCTGGCATGCTTAAAGCTACAAGATTGAGAGCAAAGAAGTGGAACTGTATATGTCAAGCAATTCAGATAATTATGGACAGAGGGAAAATGTAATAGCTTATCTCAGAATAAAAGGCTTTGTTGGAGGTTAGAAATGATACGGTGGGCCGGGCGGTGGTGGCGCACGCCTTTAATCCCAGCACTCGGGAGGCAGAGGCAGGCGGATTTCTGAGTTTGAGGCCAGCCTGGTCTACAGAGTGAGTTCCAGGACAGCCCGGGCTATACAGAGAAACCCTGTCTCGAAAAACCAAAAAAAAAAAAAAAAAAGAAAGAAATGATACGGTGGAGGTGAGCAGTTGTCAGGAAAAACTAACAGGGCACCCAAGAAGGTTGAGTTTTTCTTTTCTTGCGTACACAAGACTTGCATAACAGAAACCGCTCTCCTACTGACAACCAGAAGGAAGTATAGCAGTCAGCCTTTCCTTAAGTACTCCAACAGGAAAACTGCTGCCAGTGACATTACTGAACCATCCAGAAGCAAGATCTGTGCCAAGAGTGAAATGGGAGCATTTAAGCAGGTACGTGGCTCTTTTTGCTGACATGCAAAACCCTGTTCTGAGCTATTAGCCTTCCCATCCTCAGCTGCCTCTTCTGGTCCTGCTTTCTCTCCAGGTGGACCCGTGCTCATATCCCTTCAATTCCTTTGCCAAGTAGGAACACTACATCTTAACCCAGTTCGGAAACTTTCCAAGGAGAGCTCTATTAGAATCTGTTCTCAAACTCATCAAGTCACCATCTGCCTAGCATACTGTTTTAGATGTTTTTGTCTTATCACATACAGAAATGGAAGCTACTCAGGCCTGACCTGGACAGAACAAAACCATGAGGAAAACCAAGTATAGACAGAGTGAACAGTTTGGTTCTCTTTTCCTAGTTCATTTGTATATTTTAGATACCTGCTATGCAGGGCAGCATGCTAAGCATAGGAATACACAGTTCAGAAATGCATAATCTTCACCCCTACAAATCTCACAAACTAGTAAAAATATAAATATAACAAACACAAACATAAGTATGTCAATAAAAAAGTGTTGTAATCAGATGTTCAAATAATACAGTACTGAAGTCAGGGGAAGGACAAAAAACGTTATCACCAGAGATCTGGGATGCAGTTTGAGGTAAAATTTCAAACCAGACTAAAGTAATCAAACTTTAGTACATCGACAGAGAGGAAAAGCAGCCAAGACAGAAAAAACACCATTGCCAAGCAGTTTAAGAACCTCAAAGCAGACTTGTAAGGTCATAGTCTGGGTTATATAAAGAATTGTAGGTGTAAATATAGATCCTGTCAGCATGGAGAGTCCTGAGCATTTGAATTTTATTCTTTGTACTGGAGAACCAGATAATTGAAACAGATGAATTTTATTTCTTGGAAATTTCCAGATAACTGATTTTTAGGAAGTTTGAGGACCTGTAGTCTTACAGTTGTCCCAAGGAAAATGAGATTTCATGTTAAACTGATCATGGAAGCTGCTTTTTTATGAAGTCCATCTGCACATCTACAACTTTACTGCCATGGTTATAAAAATAAGGGACCAAAGAAATTGCAAAGTATCTCTTGAGAAGACAATTAGCAGAAGAGATTTTTTTTTAAAATTCCTTCATAGGTAATAGTGTTAGCTTTGTACTCACTGTAAAGGTTTGTGGCTGTGCAAAGTCTCTTCAGAGACATTGGGGAAGGTGATGAGATTCAGAGACAAGCACGTGAGCTCTGGAAGGATGGAGTCCTGCAAACCGGTTAAGACTTATCTGGTAGAAGTTCATGGATTATGAACACCAGTAGGAAATGGACAGGGATAACAGGGAGGACCTAGAAGCCATCCATACCTGGATTTGGGGAGGAGGAAAGCAGCAGCCTGAATGAATGTGTGGAGACAAGTATGAACAGGCACATGTGATGAGTGTGGGAGACAGGATGGATCAGCACAGTTGGGATGGAGTCTGCAACAAGAGCTAACAAGGACTGGTCCATGGGTAAACCGGACTCCAGCAGAAGGCCAGCTCCAACACCAGACATTCTCTTGCTTCCTCACAAAGAGGCAAGGATTTACTTCAGCCTCCATTTCCCCCTTGTATCTTCATGAGACATGGCTTACATTTCTAGTTGTTCTGGAACTTTGACTCATCCTTCCATAATGATCATGAGTCTCCTGGAGTATGACGCTGTCTGTCATACGAGGGACGGAGAGGTAGAGCAAAGGAGCTTATTAGGCCCAAAGTCAAATTATAGTTAAGACTAAACTCTGCCTGTGTTCTTTGGGCTCTACTCCTTGTCTTCTTCTTCCTCTGTTGTCCCCTGGATATTGTATGGGGTTGTTGAATCGAGCTTAAGCCAGGGGAGGGAGTGGTCAGCTGTGGAAGTAGCAGCTGTTACAGACTTCAGAAGTATAACTCACTTTGGGTTAGCTGCCAGACTCCCTAGGAGAGTGCCCAACAGTTTCCTTTGTAATGCCAGCTAGATTCACCCATACAGGTGGCCACAGCAGAAACGTCCTCGAAAGCTGTCGACCAACCATTCTGAGCAACTGGTAAAGCCATGTTGACCCCGCAAAGGATGAAGTTTGTTTCTGCTGAGTATAACAAAACTTTCATACTGCCCAACTGCAATTAGAAGCTGGGGACCAAGGCGTCCCTGAAACCCAGCTAGAGAATCTCTCCCTCCTGTTCTCTCTAATCTCCAGATTCCACGGCAGAAGGCAGTAACAAAGGGATGGCCCCACACCCTTCTGTAGGAAAAAGGTACATTTTGGGATGGTTTGGAGGCACCAAAATGGTAAGCAATTTTAGGGTACAATTAAGACCTGGCTGCTCAACCCTACAATAAATTACCATCAAAGGCACTCGCACGTCAATAGGGGAAAAACACATGTGCTTGCAAGACGATGTGTGTTTGATGCTCATAAAAAAGATAAAAATATAGGTCATCATCATGTAACAAGCTTGTAGGTGTCAGGACGTGTGCTGCTGGGGGAGGCAGGGGAGGGAAACTGGAGGGGATCAGCAAACCAAGGGCTGGAAGTTAGACTCCTATCCCCAAGCCGGTCCTTCTGCTTGATGGTGGATAGATGGGCAGCGAGGGGCTGCAGAAGAAAGCCTTCTCGTTCTCCATTTCCTGACACATCTTTTTCCCTATTCCCTGCCCCCCACTGGATTTCTCACATATTAATCACCTCTGCCATTTTGAAATCAGCCAGTCCAGCTATTATTCAAGCATTGTTAATGACACCATTGGCCAAGGTATCAATTAGGCAAGTTGGGATAAGAAGGGCAGAGAGTAGAGCTGGCCAGAGAGCAGAACTTGGGTCTGCTCTGGTACAGACAACCCACAAGGCAGCAAAGGCTCCCAACTCACTCTCATACTGACTCTCCCCAAAGGCAACTATGAGTGCAAGGAATTCTCCAGATGGACCAGAAGGACACCATGTGTGTCTTCCTTCATATTCTGCATTCTTGCCTCGCTAGCTGGCCCTGAAATGAGCTACAGCCAGTCACACCAAATCACTCTAAATGTGCATGCAAAAGCCACATGACCAGCACAGGACAGAGTATGCTCCCGAAACTAAAGCCCGGCATTATGGGTAAGACAACCTCAACCATGTCTGTGTACCCCCATCATGGCTGGAATTTCTTCTCCCTACAACAAGCATTTAGGATTTACTTTAGAATCAAGCTCTGTATATTCTCAGCTGAGAACATTTTTTTCTTATTTAGTTTTTATTCATAATCATAAACTTAACTTTGCAATCCAGCTAGACTTGAAGGGGAATGAGGAAAATATGGAACCCAAAGACTTCAGTGAGAGCAGAGATTACAGGGTATTGCGAGCAGATGGGGTGGGAGTGCTCTCCTGAGCTACAGAAGGAATGGTTTGATGGGTAAAACGCCCGCAAGTCAAAAGAAATTAGAGTTGTCCACAGTCGGAAATGGTGATCTTCTTGCTGGTCTTGCCATTCCTGTACCCCAAACGCTCCATGGCCTCCACAATGTTCATGCCTTCTTTCACTTTCCCAAAGACCACATGCTTGCCGTCAAGCCATTCAGTCTTGGCAGTGCAGATAAAAAACTGGGAACCGTTTGTGTTTGGTCCAGCATTTGCCATGGACAAGATGCCAGGGCCTGTATGCTTCAGGATGAAGTTCTCATCCTCAAATTTCTCTCCATAGATGGACCTGCCACCAGTGCCATTATGGCATGTGAAGTCACCACCCTGGCACATGAATCCTGGAATAATTCTGTGAAAGGAGGAACCCTTATAGCCAAATCCTTTCTCTCCAGTGCTCAGAGCACGAAAGTTTTCTGCTCTCTTTGGAACTTTGTCTGGAAACAGCTCGAAGCAGACGCGGCCCAAGGGCTCATCATCGGCCGTGATGTCGAAGTACACGGTGGGGTTGACCATGGCTGCAGCAAGCGTTGAAAAGCGATAGTGGCGTCTGCAAAGCCGAGAACATTTTTTGAAATAAAAGTCTTTTGACCACAAGTCAGCCTCTTAGCTTCCTCCCACTCCAGAGTGTTGCTTGTTCATCAGGCCAAGAGTTTCCAAATGACCAGAGCTAAGCCATTCTTTAAAAATTAAGCATAATGTGTATCTATGGGCACACACATTATGGTGCATGTGTGTGTGCTGGTCAGTTCTCTCCTTCCACCATGTGGGTTCTGGGGATTTGAATTCAGGTTGTCCGGCTGGGCAGCAGGCACCGTTACTTACTGAGCCATCTCAGTAGCCCCAGAGCTAATTCTTGTTTCACATTATTTCATTTGTTTTGGAGAGCTCCCCACTTCTTGCATATCTATTCTGTCAAAGAATTCTGTCAGCCTGGCTGTTCAGAGCAAAGGAATACAACAAGCCAGGATTCTGGAGGAAGAAAAGGAGCCAGGATTAGGATCAAAATCAGCATAGGAAGGGTTAAATTCCTTCCATGTGTACACGGAGGCAGGTTTTGATTCTAGAGTCTATCCAGACTTCAGGAGCCTCTCCCCAGCTCTTGGCCGCCTTTCCAACATCCAGACGAAGCAAGTTTTCTACAGTATTCCTTCTACCTTGAGCCTACCAAAACCTTCAGGTAGAAGGCCAGAGTTTCACTCATTTAATGTCAGTGGATCCAGAGAAGGAATACTCAATCCCAGACACCACCACAACCAGAAATCAAAGAGAACATTTGCATTTGGATCCTTGAAGACCCACCACCCAAAATGAGGATACTTCCCAAAGCCCATCTCAAGACAGACTTACTTCAGTTTCCCTCTGCCACATTTTCTGTCTTGTTTTATCTGCTCTTACGTTTCTCCCACAACTTTCACCCCAAGCCCAACAAAGCCCTGTATTATGGTGACTGATAGAAAAATAAATACATTTTCAAAATGGAGTAGCCATTAAAAGTGAAGAACAATAACAATAAAATTCCAGTTACTGAGGAGGGCCCCTAAGGGCAGGAACTGTATTATAAGGATTTAAAATGCTTTATTGAGATGTATTTCACATACTGCATGATTCACCTATTTAAAGGATACACAGAATTCAGTGGTTTCTAGTATACTCACAGACTTGTCCAGTCATAAACCTGAGAGGAAACCTGCGTCTGTTAACAGTCACTTCCTATTTTTCCTCAACATCACTCATCCTTGGCAGCCACCGTGGTGGTCTTTCATTATACATTTCTCTACTCTAAACGCTTCATATAAACAGAATCATACGGCACATGGAATTCACGTGTTTGGAAGCTCATATTGTGACATGTGTCAACACTTCACTTTTTTTTATTGCCAAATAATATTTTATTTCAATGTCTCTAACATCAGCTGACGTAGGTTACTTCCACTTTCAGCTGTTGTGAATATTCAGACTGAGATTTTAGGTGGACTTATGGCTTCTTCTTCCTCCTGGATGGAAAGTGTAACAGCTGGATCATATGGTAAGCTGAATGGGTGAGGAGCTGCAAGACTGATTTTCCAAAGAGCAACATGGCTTAATATTCTCATCAGCAATGTATAGGAGGTATAACCACTCCAAATCCTCACTGGCATTTGCTATTATCTCACTTTTGTTATTGTTACCACAACTTCCCTAGCAGATACAAAGTATCTGTGTTTGTACACGTTCGTGTGTGTGTGTGTGTGTGTGCGCGTGTGTGTGTGTATGCACGTGAAGGCCAGAGGTCAATGCCAGGTGTCTTCCTTGGTTATTCTCTACCTTATTTTTGAAACAGATAATCTCATTGAGTTACTTGTCTAGACTGTATAGCCAGAAAGTCTAAAGGATCCACCCATTTCTGCTAATCCAACTCTGGGGTTATAGGTGTGCACCACCACACCTGGGTGTTACACGAGTGATGGGTATTTGAACTCAGGTCCTCATGCTTGCATAGGTACTTCCCTGGCTGAGCTATCTGCCCAGCCCTTTGTAGTTTTGATTTATAGACCCTTGAAAGCTAGTGATGCAAATTTTTTGTGAGTTCATTGGCTATTTGTATGTGTTGCTTGGGTATGTATAAGGGGGTCTATTCTACATTTTCAATTACTAAGTTTCTAATCCTTTGCTATTTTTAATGGGGGCATTTATCTTTGAACCATTTGAGTTAATCTTTGTGTGTAATGTGAGGTAGAACTCTGGTTTAATTCTCTTATATGCATCTATCCAATGATCCAAGGACTACTTCAAAAGACTATTAAATTCCCCATTAGAGTGTCATGACACTTGTGTCAGAAATCGATGAATGGGAAATGTGAACACTTACTTTTATACTCTCCATTCTTTCTTTGGGTAAAGATTTTCTGTCCTAATGCCTCTCCCAAGATTATTTTTATTGCTAAGTTTTAATATCAAGAAATATAAAATTATCTTTTATAAGTTGACAAAATTTACCTCCAATACTGATGTAGCTTTCCAAGCCAGACCTCTCTACTAAACAAGCCCTGTTAGCTCCTAATGCAACTGTAAATTTAACCAGAAAACAACTTGATTCTAGTTTTTCAAGATTGTTTTGACTATGTGGGATCCTTTAGGTTACAATGTGAGTTCTGAGTTCCAACTGCTGATTTCTGCAAAGACACCAAAGTAGATCTGATAGGAATGTATCGGTCAGTTTAAGAAGCATTGTGATGAACATGGGCTTTAAAAATGATTTGTTTATTCATTTCTCTTTTAAAAATCTTTTGTGTAGGTATTTTGCTTACATGTATGCCTGTGCATCACATGAATACATACCCTCAAAGGACAGAAGAGATCCTTAGATTGCCTGGAATATGTAATGCTGGGAAGTAAACCCAGGTCCTCTGTAGGAGAAGCCACTCTTAACCACTGAGTCATCTCTCAAACCCATCCGTGGGCTTTCTCACATTTATTTAGGTCTTCTCTAATTGCCTTCAACAACAGTATTTTATAGTTTTCAGAGCATGAGCCTTAGACTTCCTCCGTTAAATGTATTCTTAGTTAATTCATTATTCTTGATGCTAATGCAAGTACTATTGTTTTTAGTTCATTTTCAGATCATTTACTGACGGTATTATAATTTTTTTAAACACCAAGGGGCTACATTAATCAATTTTTCTGTTACTATAACCAGCCTCTGAGATAGTCAACTACAAAGAAGAGTCTCTCATTTAACTTGTCTTAAGCCCTTGATGTCTGTGGCCAATTGGTTTTCCTATTTTGGTCTGTGTTGAGGAAGCATATCATGGCAGAAAGCCTGGGGTGTAGCCAAGTTGCTCACCTTCTTTCTAAGAGGCAAAGGAGAGAAAGAATAAGAGACTGGGCTCCAGCCAACCTTTTTGAGTGCATCCTTCCCTCACGATTTAAAACCTCTCACTAGGTCCCACTTCCCAACAGGGCCACACTTGGGACCAACATGTGAGCCTTTGGGAAATTTAAGAAACAAACTTCAGCAAGTGCTAAACATACTTACCTGCAGCAAATCTCTCTCGGTAAATGTGTTCTGGTGGACTAGATGAAAATGAAGAGTAAAATCTTCTTTCCCATGTACAAGGAACTTAGTCTAGTTGATTGACACACAACACTTTATACTTTTACTCTTTGTAATTTATTTTTGCAAAATTGAAGAATTATGGTTGTATTTATAGATACAAAATGATGGTCCAATTTATTGACACAGTGTAAAATAATTAAAAAGTCTAATTAACATATTCAAGACCTCAAATACCTGCTTATTTATATATATATATTTATTTATTTATATATCCTTTCATTGACCGTGGTTCTGGGAACTGAACCTAAGACCTCATATCTCCTAGACAAGTACTGTACCACTGCAGCATAGCAACACATACCTAGCTCCCCAAAATTTTTGTGGTATGAATATTTTAATTTATCTTCCTAACATTTTTGAAATGTTGAATACATTATTACTTGTTATGTCTACCATGCTATGCAATATTTCTTTAAGAAAGAAAACATAATGCCAGGCAGTGGTGGCACATGCCTTTAATCCCAGTGCTTGGGAGGTAGAGGCAGGCGGATTTCTTAGTTCGAGGCCAGCCTTGTCTACAGAGTGAATTCCAGGACAGCCAGGGCTACACAGAGAAACCCTGTCTCCAAAAAAAACAAAAAAAAAAACAAAAAAAAATCAAAACAAAACAACAACAAAAAAACATAAAACCTTATTCCTCTGGCTTATTTATATCCTTTATAAATCTATTTATATACGGGTTTTATAATCTCTTCACCATCTCCCCAGTTCCTCTACACCCAGCCTATGATAACCACCATTTTACTTTCTGCTTCTTCGAGTTAGATTGTTTTATATTTCACATGTACAGGTGCAATTATTGCTTCCTCAAGTTAATTTCCCCCGTTGTTTTGAGAGAGTTTCATGTGGCCTAGTCTGGCCTTGATTTTGTTATATAGTTGTCTATGACCTTGAACTCCTGATCTTCCTGCCTCCAGCTTTCAAGAGTTAGAGTTGTAGATATGCACACGCCTCCACTATAATATATATGAAAAAAGGCTGCTGCTCTCCTAGGTGATCTGAATTAGGTTCCCAGAACCCACATGGAGGTTCACAATATTTCTTTAAGAAAGAAAACATAATGCCAGACAGTGGTTGCACATGCCTTTAATCCCAGTGCTTGGGAGGCAGAGGCAGGTGGATTTCTGAGTTCGAGGCCAGCCTGGTCTACAGAGTGAGTTCCAGAGGATCCAAAGCCTTCTTCTGGCCTCCACAAGGAGCAGGCAACACATGGTACACGTACGTAATAGGCAGTGCATGGTGTATACACACACATTTTTTAAAAGGATGAGTTTTTCAGCTTTACATGTTTCTCAAAGTATTGATTTAGTGTCATCAACAGATGTTAGCGAGTAGATATGTTCAGAAATATGGAACTCATAAATAATGAGAATTAACCATAATCAGCATCAAGTATGTTGATCCTATGATACAGCCGGAGATCCTCACACATCATTTATTCATTTATGTAAAAGTGTGTGAAGTCACTGATATGTTGAAGTAGAACTAAGTGGGAAGGAACACATGTCCTCCCTTCAGGGATATTACTGCCTGGTTAGGAAAACAGAATTTATAATTCTGATCACTGTGGAGAATGGCCATGATAAAAACCATCAACAAAAAGCACATTGAGCAGTAGGTAGGGTAGGAATTCTCACAGCCATTTTGCAGAAGAAAAGGCCGTGGCAAACCAGAGTGTTAGGATCTACAAGCAGAGAGCAAAGGCTCCTCTGACCAGAGTCAGGGCTCCAGTTCTCACTGGGAGCTGTTTGATCAGACAGAGGAGGTCTACACCTTATCCTTCAAGGAAAAGGAAGTGAAAACATGATCAAAGGGAGGCAGGTTCTGCTGTTCCCACACAGGCAGGACATTTTAGCTGATGTCGAGGTTCTTGCCAGGCTCCAGTACAGAAACACATAAAGCCCTAGGGAAGAGGATGCCGTGTAGTTCCCAGACTCTGCCTGCTACCTACTCTTCTTGGCCCCAACACTTTCAGCTTCTTTTATAACATCAAGAAACCAAGCCTAATGGGCTATCTCTCTACCTTCATTTGGTTTTGTTGAGACAGGCTCTCACTCTATAGACAAGGTTTGCCTGGAGTTCACTGTGGACCAGGCAGGCCTTGAACCTATGCTGATTCTCCTCTCAGCCTCCCAAATGTTTGATACTAGGCACAAGTCACCACACCAGGACAAGTGAGTTCTCCCAAGCTCCAGTCTCTTTGGTGCCATCCAATCAGTCTTAAGTTTTACACACACACACACACACATACACACACACACACACACACACAAAACCCAAGCTAGCGCCATACCTACTCTCTTCTGAAAATTTAAAATACTTTTTAAAAAGTGTCATAGAAAATTGAGAAAGGGTAATTTTACAAAAATGAAGTTAACAAGTAATTTATGAATGGGTTTTGGAAAGAAAACCTTGATTTTATTTCTCTCACACTGAAAGGAGAAACCGTATACTTCCCCAATAGGGATGTGGTGGACTGGTATTGGTTCTGAATCTTCCTCTAATTTTACCTTGACAAGTAGTGACATGGCCAAGCCACAGATTGCAAGGGCAGAGCCCAGACCAGATCCCAGACCTTCTGACTCCTATCCAATGCTTTGCCACTGCATTCCTGACACTTAATAAATTCTCCATTAGTTTATTCAACAAACACAACATCACAGGCAGACTGAGAGACTAAAATAGAATCCCGGCTCTCATCTGCGTCTCTTGGAGAATTCATCCTCCACCACCCCAGCCCTCAAACAAGATTGAATTCTTCTGCCTTGCATGGTCATATCTTCTGCATTATTTCAACTACATTTCAAACATATCATGCTTACCTGTTAATATGTGAGTTCATCCATTAGTACTATAAATATCTTGTAGATAGTTGTTCTTTGCCACCCTAGAACCTAGCATGGTGCCTGGTGCATGTAGGGGCTTAAAAACTGTCAGCTACGCCAGCATAGCTAACTGAGTTCCTTGGATCGGCAGAGGGCTGAGGGCAAGAGAAAGAAAGACAAAGAATCATCTGGTAAAGAAACAAATGCTATATTTTCAACTGCATAGCTCCCTTTTATACTCCCCACAAAACAGGAACACAAACAGGAACAGGAATAAAAACAGGAACAAGGATCAAAACAGGAACAAGGATCAAAACAGGAACAAGGAGACACACTTGGCAGCCTACCACCTAAGTTTGGATTTCTCCTTGAGCAGTCTTCTCAGGGAAATGCATGGAGATGGAGGATCGGGCATAACAGCACAGGTGCAGAGAATGGTGACCCACAAAAATCCTTGAGCATATGAATATCAAGTCTAATATTCCTAGCCTTGTGTCATTTCTCTGGTGTGGTACATGACCCTGGGATCTCCAAGAACCATCAAACAGTGGGCTCCACTCTGTCACTGGTGAGGATTAAACTGACAACAGCCATGAGACTCACAGAACCATTTTGCCTGTCTTCAGGAATGCCACATCAAAATGGAGGTAGGATTTAGGATAAACAACAGCAGCTTCTTTTCATCTGTACTTAGTACAATGGAATAGCGGAGACCAAGCAATCCACAGAACCCCACTTCACTTCATTTTGTCCATGAGTAACCCAGGTTGTCTTTTTCCAAGGTTAGGTTGCTTTTGTCTCTCATGTGCCTCATTTTGACATCACCAAGAGGCACAGCTAGAAGAATGAGATGCGTATTTAAAGCCATGGTGTTATAGAGCCATTCCAGAGAGAGAGAGACAGAGAGACAGAGAGAGAGAGAGAGAGAGAGAGACAGAGAGAGAGAGACAGAGAGAGAGAGACAGAGAGAGAGACAGAGAGACACAGAGACAGAGAGACAGACAGAGAGACAGAAAGAGACAGAGATATAAAGAGACAGAGAGAGACAGACAGACACAGAGACACAGAGATAGAAAGACAGAGAAAAGAGGAGTCATATTTAAACTCATCAATATTCCTTCTCATAAAAAATCTTCATAAATGGACCTGTAAAGCTAAAGCAGAGCCTTGGGAGATGTAGTACTCATCTCAGCCCAGACTGTCCACGGGGGAGAAAGACAGCAGTGGATGTTTCCTGGCACTCCCTGTTGTTCATAGTGGAATCTGGGACTCCATCTCTCACAGGCAATAGGAGGAGATGAGGCTCTGGCTTACAGGCTCAGACACAGACTCATACTGTGCTTCCAGATAAAGGGACGTTGTACAGATTCAGTAAAGACTGGCTTGAAAACAAGTTCTTAGCTGAGCTCTTTTGTGACAAATGCATGCTGGCATGTGTCTCGTACGTAGATAGCAGGTACCTGTCTGTTGTCTCTGGATACTACCTAAACTCACTTTCTCCCCCAAAACTCTATGGTCCATCAAGTTGCTGTCAGTAAAGCCTAGAAGGAGTGCGCATGTATATGCCCAGTGCCCATTGTGAGATCAATATCAGTGCCTATTACATTTCCTAGCTATTTCTTGAGTATTTTCCACTCTTCTCTCTGAAAGTATGCACACATGGGACAGATTCAAGGATCCTTGAATCTTTACCACCCACCTATATCCTGAAAAGCAAACTGAGGTGTACTCAACTGAGTGAAATTATTGGTTGTCACATCTAGGCAGCACCAAAACGGCAAAGGTTCTAGACCTAGACAGTGCGGATGATTCAAGTCTGAATCACTTATTCTGGCTGTCTGTGCAGATTCAGTTTCTTCTCTCTGAAAAACCTAGTATAAATGATGCCACAATAAACAACTCTATACCAGTAGAAAACACACATTTCACCAGTCTACACACTTGAAGACATTAGGATACTGGTGAACTTTTCCAAGAAAATGGCTACAATTTTTCAAATATATGCTTCAGATATCTGCATAATAATGTCTATGCCCCACAAGGTTAGTGTAGTTATATAAATAACTTTATACCTCTCTATTTAAGTCCACACATATATTATATAAGCTTTAATATATATAAGCCTATATATATATTTATGTGATGGAATATATAGGGATTCATAGGCACATTTATGTTATTTATTAGTTCATTTATTAGATTTTGATTAGACATGTCTTTTTTTGGTTTATTACCTGGTTAGAATTTGGCCACACACAGCACTACCCTCTCTCTTTCTATACTCCTGGCTGCTAAGAGGGTTTTTGCCCTGAAGTCTGGAGGTGTTGGGACAGCTATTTTCTTTAAATGAAAGGAGAGGTCAACCATGGTTTAAATGCATCAATAAACACTGCGCATCTCCAAGAATGTCCCAAGAGCTTGTGTGCCTGCTACTCATACTATACCTGGTGTGTCAGAGTGTCTACTGTCCTTCCTAAAGACCCTTATCCATGTAAATAAGGGCAGTCCCACAACACTGTTGCCTCTCTTGGGGGTGAGAAAGAGGTAGTGATGGGGACAACTATGGGTGACTATTGCTTCCTGGGTTTAAATACAAACTCAGAGTCAGCATAGACTTGACAGGAAACCGCCCCTAGCCCTATGCTTACATATTTAAAATAACTATACTGTGAGCAGAGCGTGGAGGCAACCACACTGGGTTTCATGCTCTTGTTTGGGTGTCCTTACTAATCACCGGATTCCCCACCTCACCTGTGCAATCTGACTGTAGCCATCTATCTCTTCAGTGGTTCTCAGCCCAGGCTGCAAGCTACCATCATTGGAGAAGCTCTTAAAAGAGACTGGCGAAGGGTCCTATGCCACATCAGCTGAACCCAGGCATCTGGGAGGCATCTTCATTGGGCCTAAGTTTCCCAGATGGATTCTAATCCATAGTGGTGATCAAGAGCCATCAGTTCACCTAAGCTATTTCAGAATAATTGTGAAGGAGCTCAGTCTCAGGATTGATAGACAACCGGAGTAATCCTCACCAGACAATTAAGATTCCTTTCACACAGAGGCCAAAGATTTTGAGTTACAGTCAGGGGTGGTAGTGACAGATGTCAGGACCCATTCTCAGATTAGTTATGAGGAAAACTAAGACACACGAGCATGTATACACAAACACACACACACACTCCCCATGTGACTGCAAGCAACTTGAAACAAAAAAAAAATTTTTAATTGAATTTCGGGGCCTGGGGAAGAGCCGAACCTATAATTATTTCTTAGCAAACCTGCTGAGCATAGGGCTTCCCTCCTCTGGGACGAGATGAGACGGGCCGTATAATGAACCCTCTTTAATTAAAAAAATAAAGTGTTTTAGGATAATCATATTCTCCAAGTTGCATTATTATTTTTTTTTTTAAAGAAAGGAAGAATGAATGATGAGAAATGGTCCATTTTCAAACACCAGTGTCAGGGGGGCCTCAAATGGGCTCATCTCTCATTTAATTTCAAGATTTGAAATTAGATCTATAAGGGGGAACTAAGTCCCAGCATTATTCCCAATACAAAACCAGTTCTTTTTTTTAAAAAAAAAATCTTTATACCTACTTCTCTTAAAAGCAACAGGTTTGATGTCACTAAGCAGACCGGCAAGAGGAGCTGGTTGAGGTTCCTGAACAGACTCACAGCCTCTCTCTGGCCCAGTTTTATGGGATTCTCTAATAAGGAAGTGTGTGGTTTATATTCCCAATTGGCGGCTCTTCCCAGATCCTGAGAAATGTTTGGGGTGTTGGGAGGCAAACTAAAGTGGGAAAATACTCCTCCATATTGTAGATACTGCAGGGGACTTGTGGGAGGGCCGAAGAAGGCATACAGTCTTGTTAACTGAAAATACCTCTCTTCAGGCAAGAGAACAATTTGAAGATGCCCATGGAGCTGGAAACCAAGTTCCATATTTACCCCATAGGATAAATATGAGGACTTCGGTTGTACAGGTTCCCTTTTAAGTCTGTTCCTTTCTTTGGATCCTATTCCCTCTTCTACGGCTTCTGTGCCTAGGTCCTGCCCTGTCCTAAGATTTGGAGTCCCAATGGAGAGGCCTTTGTTTGAGGAAGCAGGAATGAATGCCCTGGAAAATCCAAGCAAGCATTGCATTATTTTTCTCCCCAAGCTTTGCTCCTCCACTTCCCTGGAAGAAGGAGTGAAGGTCCAAAGCAGCAGAAAGGCCATGACTGCGGCTGACTTCATGCTGAAAATTACCTTTGGTGGTGCCTGCATGTCAGGATATGTCTGTGCTCCTGGTACAGGTTAGGGAGATGGCTTGCAGACAGCAGCAGCTCTAGCTCTTTAAGTTGCATGCAGCTCCTTCCCTAAGCTGTGCAAACTCCACAGTTCTAGAAACACAAAGAACTTCCCTACTTGGAGAATATCTACTTCAAGTTACATTTAGACAAACAAGCACACACATGAGTGCAGGTGCACATACACACACACACACACACACACGTACACAGTATGTCTGTACCAGGAACACTCACCCTCTATGGTTGAACCAAAGCTAAAGAGGCTGGAAATGGACACGTGGAGAAGGGGCCTCACAGTCAACAACATAGAGAACTGTGCCCTACCCAGGTCTCCACCTGCCCAGGGAGAATTTTGGTAATTTTAATAAAACCAAATTAAATTCTAAAGTAAGACCAGTTGGTGATTCAGTAGGGATGGTCCAAGATCATTATGGTACAGCTATAAAATAAAAATTATAGAGATGGACAAGAATAGGAGCAAAGCAAATAAAATCACGTTAAAGGAAAAGAGGGGAAGCATGACAGAGATGGAAAACTGTCAAGTGTGCGTGAAGATGGCTGTTTGCAGGACTCCTCAGGCAGAAGAGACTTTCTGCTCACCCTCTTCATTCTTGGCTTTGGAGAACCCCGAGGTCTGAAAAGAAAACTGGTATGCATCCTAGCTCTGCATATTTGTAAAGAAAGCGAGGTATTGAAGCCTGCTTCAGCAAAACTGCTTCTCTACCAGAGTGTAGAAGGGGGCTGAGAGGCTCGTGTCAGAG